CAAATACACAGGCACTTCTCAATAAGATAATAATCTCTAAATAATCTCCTCTAACAAGATCTAGAATATACGTCTCTTCTAGATAAGGCACAATTTCGCTTGTGCAGTAAGCAAGTTCACATAAATTAACAGCTGTGACCCATTGTAAACCAGAAATTGCCATAAAAAAGAGAAAAAGCCTCATAAAGATGCTTAGCATGCAAGTTTAATGAGTTACTAGTCCACATCAAGTGAATAACATAACAATAAGGCACCCAAAGAAAGCGAGAAAACACAAAGCACTTCAACTGCGCTCGGCTGAACGCCAACAGAATCGTGAGCATCATTATTACCTCTAATTATACATACATCATTTTTACCACACAGTATAACGCATTGCACTCCTCAAAAGCTATACAGACTTCTTAATCATTTTCAACTGCTTCTAATTGTTCCAAATCGCTAGGATCCAACTTAGGGATAGGCTTTCCTGTAAACAAACTCCATGTGTCAAAAAAATGACATTCAACGGCCTGATACACAAAAAGTAGCAGTATACTTACCGAAGAAAGCTTCAATTTTCTTGATTATCGCCAATGCTTCGCGACTATCCACGAAGTTGATCGCAATACCTGCTTTCCCAAATCGCCCGGTACTAAAATCAATAATTTGATAAGATGTGTGATCTAAAAGGTCAATGGAAGCCAAGACGATTCCTAGTGCAGTCACAAATTTACTTCCAATAAATGGGGACATTTTGACAGAGTCAGAATCTAATGAATAAAGCACATTCTTCTAAAATTTACCGTCCAATTCGATGTAGGTAGGTGTCATAGTCAGGTTCCGAAGGATTTTCGTAGAGCAAAGGAGGATCATAGTTGATCACGATTGTTACTTGTGATACGTCGATACCTGAAAAAAATCAAAACTCAAACCTGCAAAGAAAGTTCTTACTCTCTTGTTTTTCTCTTCACGAAATTTTTTTCTCTTACGAAGGCAGCAAGTTAGTATGCCATTAAGCAAACAAGCATCGATGGTCAGCTATCACTCATCAAGAGGTCGTATAGCATTACTTAGCGGCCCAGTTCATATGGGCTAATCCATTGAGTAAACGAGGCAGACGTTTGGACAGTTGTGATATAATGCATCAATTACTGTGCATTCTGATCAAATACAGTAA